TTCAGTGCGCCGACAAGTCATATTAGTGGCTCGGCACTTTTCTTCAGTGTTGCAGCATTTTCTCAGCGGAATACAGCGGAATGCGCCAGCGGCAGCCCTTTAATCCAGCGCGTTAACGGCAAACGCAGTCAACTTTTCCTCTTTCCCCCCCGGAAGCGCAGTAATCTGCAGTGTGAGCTGAAGCAGGGATGCAAGCTGTCCCCTTCAACCTCCCGCAAGTCTGTGCGCCGAGACGTGCAGCACCCAAAGTCGCCACCACACAGCAGTTTTTTATTTTTCTTATTTTTTTCCCCCCACTGAGCTGAAACTCGAGAAAGAAAACTTTCCGTCGCTTTTTTTTTTTTTAATGATTACTGTCTCGGTGATGTTATTTTCAGGCGTGCGAAATGTCACTTCAACGCCCAAAGATTTCCAGGCTGTAAGATCTCTAATATGGCAAACTGCAAGGAAAGAGAGTTGGTTTGTAATACAGCACTTCGGGTACTTTGGGGGAGGAAATGTCCCGACAAAACGGCAGTCCGTGTTCACTTTGGATTCCAGAGATGATGCGTAATTCCATAAGATCCCAAGAAGGACGGGCGGAAAAAAAAAGAAGAAAAAAAAAATCACGGGAGTGGAAGTGAGAGAGTGAGACGGAGCCACAAGGACACAGAGAAGCTCAGAAAGACGGAGGGAGAAAAAAGGAAAACAGATAAATCCTCGGTATTTCAGCCCGAAGAGTTAGAAGGACATCCCGCAAACAGCCACGAAGTGGACTTGAGGACAGTAATGAGTTCCTCTCCGCTCGATAGCGCTTTGCTCAGCTCGGCCATAGGGACCGGGAGTGAGAGGAGGAGTCCGCTGGGTCATAGCGCCGCCTCTTCTCTTTCTCTCACTCTGTCTCTCTCTCACACACACACACACAAACAAACCACATTCGTTCCACTGAACACGATTCCTGCCCAGGAAGTAAAACAGCCCCATAATTACATACATACATTATATATATATATATATATATATATATATATATATATATATATATATATATATATATATATGCATATGCAAGTCTAAAAGCTATCATTTAAATAATAATTTTAAAAAA